AAATGTAATTAGAGCCTTACCAACAAAGAAAAGCCCAGGTCCTGATGGATTCACAGCTGAATTCTATAAGAAATTCAAGGAAGAGTTAATGCCTACACTCCTCAAACTCTTCAATAAAGTTGAAAGGGAAACAAGTCTCCCTGACTCATTCCTGGAAGCAAGTGTTACCCTAATACCAAAACCAGAGAAAGGCCCAACCAAAAAAGAGAATTACAGGCAAATCTCCCTAATGAACATAGATGCAAAAATCTTCAATAAAATAATGGCAAACAGAATGCAGCAAATCATCAAGAAGATTACACACCACGACCAAGTGGGATTTATCCCAAGTATGCAGGAATGATTCAACATATGCAAATCAATAAACATAATATACCATATGAGTAGAGTCAAAGATAAAAGTCACATTATCATTTCAATAGATGCAGAAAAAGCTTTTGATAAAGTTCCAACATTCATTCATGATAAAAACCCTACAGAAAATTGGAATAGATGGTCTTTATCTCAATCTGATAAAAAGCCATCTATGACAAACCAACAGCCAGCATCATATTAAATGGTCAAAAACTGAAAGCTTTTACTCTAAAATCAGGAACAAGGCAAAGATATCCATTATCACCACTCCTATTCAATATAGTGCTGGAAACATTAGCCAGAGCAACTAGACAAGAGAGAGAAATAAAAGGAATAAGGATATGAAATGAAGAAGTTAAATTATCACCATTTGCAGATGACATGACACTCTACATAGAAGACCCCCAAAACTCCATTGAAAGACTTCTAGGTGTAATAACCAAATTCAATAATGGAGCTGAATGCAAGGTCAACACTCAAAAATCCATAGCATTCCTGTACACAAACAACAAGAGGGAGAGAAATAAGAGAAACCACACCATTCATAACAGCATCCAAAAAAAATGAAATACTTAGGAATCAATCTAACAAAGTAAAAGATCTATTCAGTGGAAATTACCATGTTCTGAAAAAAAAGAAATCAAAGAGGATCTCAAAAATGAAGACATTCCTTGTTCGTGAATAGGAAGAACAAACATTGTGAAAATGGCCATTCTCCAAAAATTGTTACACAGATTTAATGCAATTTCAATCAAAATACCACTGGCATACCTCACAGACCTAGAGAAATCATTCCTAAAATTCATCTAGAACCAGATGAGATCTAGAATAGCAAAGGCAATTCTGGGTAACAAAGGCAAGGCAGGAGGCATCACAATTCCTGGCTTGAAGTTATAATACAAAGCTACTGTGATAAAATCAGCATAGTACTGGAATAAAAACAGACCTGAAGGTCAATGGAATAGATTGGAAGATAGAGCCACAACTATAAACACACTCAGCCACCTTATCTTTAACAAAAGGACCAAACATGTTCACTGGAAGAAAGCCTCTTTAATAAGTGGTGCTAGAAAAGCTAGCTTTCCATATGCCAAAACCTAAACCCATGCCTTTCAACATGCACCAAACTAATCAAAGGTCTAAATATTAAGGCAGAAGCACTAAATCTGCTGGAAGACAAAGTAGGTAGAAATCTTGAAGACACAAGGATAACCAGAGAATTCATGAACAAAAATCTACACAAGAAACACTTCCCAGAATCAATAACTGGGATCTCACCTTATTTTTTTTTTTTATTTAAGGAGAAAAAGAAAAAAACATTAAAAGGGTACAAGTAATACAAAATTTAAAAAATAAACAGTAAGAAACCACTAGTTAATAGATTATATATTCTCATCTTAGAAATAGGATCTCATCTTATTAAAAAGTTTTTGCATGTCAAAAAAATCTCCAGCAGAGTAAAAAGAAAACCCACAAATTGGGAAAAAATCTTAGTCAACTGTCCCTCAGACAAAGGACTTCTATCTAGAACATATAAAGAGTTTTAAAAAATCAAACTCCCAAAATTCAAAGACCCAATGCAAAAACGGGCATCTGACATGAACATACACTTCTCAGATGAAGAAATACAAATAGCAAATAAATACATGAAAAGATGCTCAGCATCACTAGTCATTACAGAAAAGCAAATTAAAACCATACTGAGATTCCATCTCACTCTAGAAAGAATCAAGAAAACCTCCAACAACAAATGCTGGAGAGACTATAAGGGAAAAGGAACTCTCCTGCACTGTTGGTGGGAGTGTAGACTGGTGCAGTCACTGTGGAGGTCCGTCTGGAGATTCCTCAAAAAACGGATTGGAAGTCCCATTTGATCCAGCTATTCCACTTCTAGGCATATTCCTAGAAGAACTGAAAACATCACACCACAATGACACATGTGCACCCATGTTTATAGCAGCACAATTTGTGATAGCCAGATCTTTGAAACAACCTAAATACCCATTAACTGAGGAATGAATAAAAAGATGTGGTATTTTTATACAATGAAGTACTACTACTCAGCTATAAAGAAAGATCATATTGAGGCTTTTATAAGTAAATGGATGTGACTTGAGACCATACTCATAAATGAAATAAATCAAATTCACATGTGTAAACACCACATTGTCTTCCTAGTGTAAGAAACTGAAAGAGTAAATAAGCTACAAAATCTTCAATAAATATTTTGAAAGGGTAAGAAACTGCTCAAAAGGGAAAAAAACTCAGGGAAAAGGAGAAAAGAAAGAAGGGAAAACAAAAAAGATATAAATTTGTACATATACCCTTAAGATAATTGTACTACTAACTCTATTAGTTCTTGGAATAAAACAGTTAACATTCATTGGATTAGATCAATTTCACATGTTTACATCTGGTAATCTGAGTAACTCCTTTGAAGATAACTATGCAAAATAACAACCTTGGTTATGTTCCTACCACCTTGTTTCAAAGCCTATATTGTTATTGTTTGGGGCTCTTTGTTATTGTTATTTATCTCTTTTGTTTCTTGTTTTTCTTGTATTTTATTTTGTTTTTCCCTCCAATACAGAAAAGATAGGGGTACATGTATAGGGTTATACCTGCCTAGAACTTCTAAAGAATTTACAAGAACCTAAAGAGTTTACAAGAATTGATTTTATTACATGTGATATGAAAAGCTACTTAGAAGAAAATGAGACATTATGGTAGCCATTACCGATTTCCTATCATCTTGTTATGAAGTCTAAAAATGCTTTTACTCTTTGGTTTGATTGGTTTTAGTCTGTTTTCTGTTATTTGATTTCAATATGTGTGAAAGTATGAACATCTATTTTGAAGAAAACAAGAGTCATTATGGCAGTCATTGTTGATTTTCCTATTGTCTGGTTGTGAAGACCAGTGAAGCTTTCGTTCTTTTTCTTATCAGTTTTACACTATTTTGTTTTGTATGAAATTCATTGTGTGTGGGGATATGGACAACTATTTCGAAGACAACAAGAGACATGGCAGCCACTGTTGATTCCCTGTTGTTTTGTTTTGAAATCCTGTGTTGCTTGCATGGTTTTGTTCTGAGTTGCTTTGTTCTGTTTTGTTTTGTTTTATTCTCTTTAAAATAAAACAAGTGAGTAAATAAAAATAAAAGAGCATTATCTTATTATTTTCATAAAATTATAAATTTTTTAAATCTATGTAACAGGGAAAAAGACTTATAAAATGTTTTAACACAGAATGTATTAAAATGTTAAATGTTTCCATAATAAATTTTCCTAATAAACCAACATAATTTTCATGTTGTGAAAAAAATGATGAGACTGATAATATGGAATTACTTTAAAATTAATAACTTTTGTTCATCAAAAGATATGACTGAGCATAAAAAGCAGGCCACAAATGTGGAAGCAGACATCTACCTTTTGTTGAAATACTCATACCCATAAAACACAAACACCTACAATAATTTAAAAATAAGATAATTCAATAGAAAAATATCTGAACAAGAGCTTAACAAAAGAATATAGTCAAGTGATCCATAAATACATAAACAGGTACAGAGCCTCAGTAGTCTTCAAGTAATTCAAGTTAAAATCACAGGGGGAGGGACTGGGGATTTAGCTCAGTGGCATAAGCACCTGCCTTGCAAGCAGGCGGTCGTGAGTTCGATCCCTGGTACCAATAAAAAAAAAAAAATCACAGTGGTATACCAGTACATACTCAACAAATGGCTAAGACAGCGCACTGACAAGATCAAGTGTTGGCAAAACTACAGGCCAGTGAGAGTCCTTTCATCTGGCTGATGAAATCATGCAAACTGGTAATTATTTTGAAAGATCATTTGGCAACATTAACTAAAACTTAATATTTACATGTCCTGTGATTTGGGAATTCCATTTCTGACATATACCCAGCAGAAATATATGTATATATAAATATATATATACATGAATGTTCATTGCAGTATTTTTTTGATTATTTAAAATAGCTGGAAACAATCTCCATACCCATTTAACAATGGTACAGATAATAGTAGTCATTCAACAAAAATAAATGAACTACTACACTCAATACATGGATGAGTTTCACAAATATAATGATTTGAGAAAGAAAACTGACACAAAGGAGAACCTATAAACTATAAAATGACTCCATTTATACAAGGTTCAAATTAGACATGCTTGATCTATGTGTATAGAGAGCAGGATGGCAGTGACTTCTGAAGTGGTGTCAACAGTGATGATCAGGGAGGGTGGTGAGGGGAACCCTTAGAATGGTTTCTGTTTCTTGACATAGATGGTGGTTATATAAGTGTATACTTTCTGGAAATTCACTAAGATGAACCCTTTTGGCTTGTGTGCTTTTCTTTATGTATAGTAAAGTTTATTTTTAAAAAAGAGAAAAGAACAACTAACTGGATATATGATTTTCACAAATATACACAGACAAATAATGTTAGGTCAGTGGATAAACATGTAGATAGATGGTTGCTGATGTATGAATGGAAGGCTCCCATCCTGTAATACTATTTGAGCAATGGCTCTGCTGCGGGGAGATTCATGCCAGCTTGTGTTCCATCTGAGACAGAGACAAGACGGCCCAGGGGTTAGTACGTGCTATGGTGGGATCCATACCAATGGCATCACCAGAGAGTTTCCAAGCCTTGACGTCCCAGTCCTGGCCAGCACTGATGATCAGCTGCAAGCTGTCCACATACAGGATATCTGCCACACTCTCCAGATGGCCTTTCCAGGTAATCAGGAGTGTGGGAGGAACCAGGGAAATGGTCTGGCCATTCACAACCTATAGAGAACAATAAAAGACAACTGCTTATACCAGTGTCACCAGACAGGCCTGGAGGCAGCAGAGCACAGTGAAAGGCTGTGGCACATGGTCCAGCCTTCCAGTTCTGGACATTTCCCATACCAAGTTGCTGGTCTCAGCACTTCCCTGAGATCACTGGTCTCTGTAGTAAAACCACAAAAAGGATTTGCATGTGTCTATATTGTATACCAACTGCTTCTATATAGAGTACCCCATTTGAACCTCACGACCTTATAGGATATATAGGAATCTCAGTGTGTTACAGAGGGGAAAAGTGAGTCAGAGATGTTTAGTAATCAGCAAAAGGCCACATCACTAGAAAGGGATGGGGCCAGGACAAAAACAAGATCTTCTAAGTGGGCACTGGGAGAATAGGGTAAAGGGGTGGTAGATCATATTGTACTACGAGTGTGTTGGGAGCCACTGAAGCTGGAAATTGACCTAGAGCATGACACAGATGTGACCCTACCAGAAAATAAACAGCACCCAGGTCAGCCACCTGAAGAAGTTGCTACAGCCCAGAAAAATACCAACCTCCTAGATAGTCCAAGCAATGGGTTGCTAGGTAGAGGGGGCTGTAATTGACATTATCCTACCCAGTACATAAATAAGCATGCTGCATTGGTTGAGCAGTACCTCTCTCCTCCCATCAGGAGGATAAGGCCTCCACTTGACCCCAGCTTTTTCTCTTCTTTATTTTCTCACCCTCTCACGGTCTTTCATCTCAAGAACTTCAGGAGCCACATGGGTTGTGGCATGAGAGAATAAAAATCTACTCAATCATTAAATGAGTGAAAATTACCAGAACCATTTTTAAATACACCAAGATGAAGGAAGGGGTATTTATTCTGCTACAGTAAAATAAGTAAGGCAAAATAATACAAATCTTAAACAGAACAATTAAGTAGAGAACTCAAACCAACCCAAGTATACCTAAAACTTTCATATGGAACAAAGTAATAGAAAGCATGACTCAATAAATAGTGCCAGGATACCTGATGAGCTATTAAGACAAAACCAAGCATTATCTTAAACCTTAAATACCAAAAAGAACAAGCATGGCAGCACATCTGAAATCCCTGCTGAGACAGGAGGATCACCAAGAGTCTGAGGCCACCTGGGCTAGACAGTGAGTTGCAGGTCAGCCTGAACTACTTGTTATTATCTATAGCCATCTCAGTAAGTGTGGAGTGGGGTCTCATTAGCATTTTGATATGCATTTCTCTGAGAGCTCACAGTGTTCAATATTGTTTTACATACTCGGCCCATTTGCATGTCTTCTTTGAAAAAATGCTTATCTTATTTTAATTGGGTTATTTACTGTTTTTACTGCATTATGAGCGCTCTTCATATTAGTATATTCTAGTATAAGTCCCTTATCAAGTATACAATTTCCACTGATCTGTCTTTACTTATGCTAGAACCAGTCTTGTATATTGTGGCTTTGTACTGTTTTGAAATTTATAAAGGTAAAAAAAGAATATCCAATAATGGGATGTGCTTTTGTTGAATGGTATGGAGATTGTTTCCAGCTATTTTAAATAATCCAAAATGGAATGGCATCATCAGAGTTTTCAAGCTCTGACATTACAACAGTGTGTTACATTGGACAATACAATTTGTAGTGATTGATCGACTGTGTCAACTTGAGACATTTAGAAGCTTCACTAAATGGGTTTAGCAACTCTACACCTAGGGTGTAGACCCCACCCCAGGGTGGCTCATCACCTGGAGGTATAAAGGGGAAGGAGGGAGAACGAATGCAGTCCATTCTTGGAGACGCTCCAGTCTTCACCTTTGGGTTGGACGTCGTCTCCTGGCTTCCAGTGTAGAATCTTCAGCTTTCCGGCATAGACTCTTCAGCCTTTCATCACAGAGCCTTCGGCCTTCTGTCGCAGACCCATCAGCCTGCTGGTGTGGACTTGCACAAGACACCAGGGTGAACTCCAGACCTTGGGTTGAATCCTTCGGCCTCCAGTGTGTAGACACCCTCTGCGGGCTTCCTCATCAGACTCTGTGGCTGACCATCGTAAGCCAATCTTGTCATTTCTTATACATTTGTATATCTTATGTTATGTCTGTTTTCTCTATTAAAACTCTAATACACAATTCCAATATATTTAAAATATATCATGTTAAAACTAAAGACAGGCTGGGCAGGGTGGCCACAATCTCAGCTATAATCTCAGCACTTGGGAGGCTGAAGTAAGAGGATTGTCATACGTTCAAGGCCAGCCTGAGCTATGTATGGGTTCAAGGCCAGCCTAACTACAGAACAAGACTTTGTCTCAAATAAATAAATAAAATAAAACTAAGGTTAGGAACCTGGTTAGGAACACAGGTTCTAGATCTAGACATCTCTTTGATGTCTGGTTCAGCACTGGCAGCTTTGGGGGCTTAGACAAGTCCCTGATGTTCTCTGTTTCATCATCATCTTCTTAAAAAAAGTCACATCTCCTTCACAGAGTTGTTTTAGAGGTTCAGTGAAGAGCACACACATGCTATTCATCACAATCTCCTAAACAGTAAATAAATCTCTTAAGCAATAAATAAATGTCCTTGTTAAAATAGTATTACAAATTCTCCAGGTATTGAATCCATGGGTTTATTAGTATATATTAGTATTATATACTATATTAGTACTATATACTGTATTGCCTTATAGTATATAGTATATATTTCCATTGTTGGGACAAAACACCCAATACCCACAATTTAAAGGAAAGGTTCATTTTGGTTCACAGTTCCAATGGACTCAGTTCAAAATTGACTGACTTCAAGGCAGAAATGGCAAAAAAAAAAAGGGCTGGCTGAGGACAGCTGCTCATCCCCATGGCAGCCAGAAAGCAAAGAGAAAAAAGAGCTAGGGACAAAAATATACCCTTCCAAGCCATGTTCTAATGACCTACCAATCCAACCAATCCTCATATTCAAACACACAAGACTTCTGGGGCCATTTTAGATGTAAACCAAAATGTTTCACCTTTGGCCCTCAAAAGATTCATGTTTACCTTGTTATATAACATGCATTTAGTCCATCTCTAAAAGTCACCAAAGTCTTAACAGTTTCAGTATTGCTAAAAGGTCCAAATACCAAGTCTCCTTTGAGACTCAAGGCAAACTCTTAGTTGTGAGTCCCTGTAAAAATTAACAATAAAGCTAAATACTTCTAATATATAATCATACTAGGTAAACATTTCTACTCCAAAAGGGAAAACTAGGGAAATGGGAATCAGATCAAACCAAAACCAAATTCCACCAGAGCAAACATTAAATGTTGTAGCTCCATGCTCAGCACCCTGGGACAGTTGTGGTGAGATGACATAAACTTCAAAGGGCTTGGGCACCTGTACCCCTGTGACCTTGCTGGTCACAGCCAACATGGTTTCTCTCTTGGGCTGGCTCCGCTCACTGCCTATGGTTTTCTTCAGCAGACATTTCTCATTCCTGGCATCTCCAACTCCCCACAGTCTCCACTGCACCTTTGGCTTCACTCTCAGAGCTTTAAACTTTACTCTCTGGGAGGTCCTGGTAAGAACTATGATCCTGTCACACATTTTTGTATAACCTTCTAGGCCTTCTTTTCAAATGTGGGTAGAAGCCTCTGTGACCCCATAACTCTTGAATTCTGCATTCCTGAAAAATGAGCATAAGGTCTGCTGCCAGGTCAGCCAGTAGCCTGACTCCCTGGAACATGGCAACATCCTCTGAATGCTTGGATGACGAAACTAGGAAAATACTTCCCTAGGTGGCTATTAATGAGCAGGGTGACCTGGAGCTCTCGTCTCAAAAGTTTTTCAAAAGTGTTTACCCTTTTATAGCTTTAAACTTGTAGTGAGTGGTGTCTGATCATTTTCTGACATGCTCTCAAAGTATCTTTCTTGATGTCCTGTTCAAAGTACTTGGCATGTCTTTTCAGAAACCACACTTGGCCCCAATTTTACAGGTCCTTCCTTTCTAGCCAAACTGCAAATTTTTCACATCTTTTGCCTCTCCATTTTGTTTCTGAATTTCACTGTAGATTTGAACAAAAGTGGCCAGCAGTATTTGTGCTGCACCCACTCAGTTGCTTTGAAATTTTTTCCACTAGACCTTTAAATTCAGTCTAATGCAAAGTTTTAGGACACAGAAAAGACACAGACACATTATTTGCCAGAATTAAATACACACATGCTCTAGTCCAATTTTGAATACAGTGTTATTCCCAGCTAAAACTGCATGAGACTGGTCTTTGCTGTTCACATTCCTATCACCATCTGATTTTCTGAGATTCAACCAGAACTGCAAGTCAAGTGCTGCTTATAGCATTCTAGGGTTTCTCTACCCTACATCTCCAAAGTTTTCCAAATTTCTTCCAAAAACTAGTTACAAAGACTTGTAAACCACATGGCCATATACAGTCACAGCAACAACTCTACTGTTAGTACCAAATTTTTGTATTATTCACTTTTCCTGTTACTGGAACAAAACACCCAAAACTCACAATTTAGAGAAGGAAAGGTTTATTTTGGATGACAGTTCCACTGAGCTCAGGCAAGAATCATCTGGCTGCAAGGCAGAAAGGACCTAATAGAGGGTAAATGCTCACACCATGGCAGCCAAAAAGCAAAAAGGAAGAGAAAAAGAAAGAGGGAGAGGGAGAGAGAGAAGGCAAGAGAGACAGAGATAGAGATAGAGACTAAGATAGAGAGGCAGAGAAAACAATCCAAGAATAAGAATATATCCGTCTGGTCACAACTCCACTGACCTGCCTCCTCCAACCGGCTCCATCTCTGAGCATGTGAGACTGTGGGACAAAATTTTAGATCTAAACCATAACAATGGTTGATCAATTCCCAACAGATCTGAATACAGTGAAAATTCTTTTTATACTGAAACTATATTGAATTTAACATATTTTTTGCAAAATTCAAAAAGTACCTAAGGTTACAAAATGACTGACAAATTGCAAACTCAGACAATGCTTTGATCTAGCAATCTCACTTTCAGGTATTAATTCTACAGATGTGTTTTCCCATATGTGAAAAACATTTCTATGCACTTGACACTGAAAAAATTTCCCTTAAAAAGCAATTATATTAATAGTATAGTCTGTGGCTTACTACCCAGTTATAAAAAAATAATATATTATGGAGAAAAGCAAAATGAGTACATATGACATAATACCTCTATGTAAAAATAAGGGTGAAATGATTTTATACATTTCAAAGGATAAGAACTGTTTTGCAGGTGATGGGAATGAAACTCTTCATGTAAGCCTTTTTATAATGAATGCCTAGAAAATTATACATATCATAAAGATAATCCTTTTTAATACCTGTATTTGACTATATGATCAAACCCAGATAATGAAACAGAGCACTGTCAGCCCCTAGAAGAACCCCTCAAGATTCCTTCTAGGGACAAGGGACACAGCTCAATAATACAGCACTTTCCTATACAGCACATGTAAAGCCCTGAGTTAAATCCCCAGTACTACAAAAAAAAACCCTTCCAGGCATTCTGCTCCTCCCACAAAATAATCACTTCCAACAAGAACAGTTTGTTTTGCCTGCTTTTAAACTTTATACAAATGGAACCATAAAACCTGTAATATATATTCTTTGTTTTCTTTCACTTAAATCATTTGAGGAATTATTTTGTAATGCGTAGATACACAGTAATCATTCCTCTTTACTGCCAAATTATTATTCTATAGTGTATGTAGACCACAATTCACATTTCCAGTCTACAATGAAGAGCTTTTACATTGGTTCCAGTGAGGAGCTGTTATAAATAGTAGTCTATTAACATTCTCATTCATGTTTCTCAGTGCAAAGATTTTTCTGGGTTATAAACCTAGAATGGAATTGTTAGATCACAGGGAAGCATGTATTTAAATGTAGCAGCTATTGTCAAATAATTCTCTGAAATGATTATGCCAATTTATAGTCCTACCAGCAGCAAAGCTCTACTTGATCTGCATCATTGCCAACATGTAGTACTGCCTGTCTTTTTAGTTTCAGACATTCTGGTGGGAATGTAGTGGAATCACATGTGGCTTTTATTTGCATTTTCCTGATAACTAAGAATAAGGTACTTAATTTCACCAGTTATGAAGCAAAAATAAGTAATTCTTTTTATGCAGTACTAGGGTTGAACCCAAGCCCTTCACAGTCAACTACAACCCTAATCTTTTTAAATTTCTTTTATGTTTAGACAAGATCTTGCTAAGTCACTAAACTGCCCAGATTGGGCTCAAATTTGTGATCCTCTTGCCCCAGACACTCAAGAGTGCAGGGGTTACTGGCATATACCACCATGCAGCTAAATATCAGTGGATTGTGGAGCATGTTAATATATTACCTATTCAGAAAATATGTAAATATTTTAATTGTCTTTTTAGAAAAACTCCTAACTCCAGAGTCCACCCTGCAAGATCAAAGCACATGAATAGGAGTATAGGTACATATGCGTATATATGTGTACATATTTAGTATATGCATGGTTGTGTCTTACTGATTAAACATGACCTCTGATTAACAGATAGTTCCACAAAAGCCAAACACAAAAGGAAAACATGAAACAAGCATAATTTCAGTATAGAAATCATAGTCCCAGCTCCTTGATAGGGTTCAAAAGCACTTTTCTGAGCAACCCCCCGGACGCTCCCTACCTCCTTCTCCTGCACAGGAATATAGTATGGAATGTTGGTCTGGAGCCGATCAGGAATTAAGAACCGGAACTTGTTCTCTGTTTCAATGGAGATCTTCACCCCACTGGACTGGGGTGATGGATGCCCAATAAATGTGCAGTAATCTTTGATATCCCATATCTAGGCAGAAAGTATGAGTTAGTAGCCCAGCATCCTTTGACCTCACTCCTAACTCAGTCTACAGGTTCCTCCCAGACCATTCTTTCCTTTGGGAGCAGTTCTTGGGAAACACACAGCTATTCAGGACCAGATGGGATCTACGGCAGATCACTTGGTTGGCAGGCAGAGGGGGTGTGGTGGGCTGCAGTTCCTGAGACAGCAGGTCACAGATGGCCACACGGTTAGGAGATGAGGGAGCCGTGAGAGTACAATGCAGGAGCTTAGGCTCATGAGTAAAGGTTCTGAGATGGGGTGCTTATAAACAATCCCTCACTCATCCCACTGGGCATGTCAGGGTAGAGGACTCCTAAATAATCCTCTCAGTTCTCCCATATTGTTTTACAAATGACTCCAGACCCAGGTGGAGGAGGAACTAAAGCCACATGTACCAATGAGATAACTAAAAGTTTGGCAGGCCCAGCCCCTTGATCTTAACAAGTGTTCTTCCTCACCTTGATGCATCCTTTACAATCTCCTGTGATAAGGATCCAGTCATTTTCATCAGTGGCCATGGCGCCCACGACATCCCCATTATCTTCCAGGTCCACAGGGAACTTCCCCAGCAGGCCTCCATTTCCATGGATAGACCAAGCATAGATGTAACCATCAGTGCAGCTGCTCAGCATGGCAGCCGTGTGTGGCAGGCGAGGCCTGGTCTGCAGAAAGATTATCTACACAAGAGAGGTAGGCCTGGCTCAGCAGGGCTGTGAACCAGGGTCTGCCCTGGCATCTGTCTCATATTGCTGAGGGTCCTGGACAAGTCCCCATATCTACTGGTCTCCCAACTTTCAAGATGCCCTTTCCTATCCACCTGGTGATAATAACATATTCAGGAGTATGAACTACTTGAGGGTAGGGATTTTTAACCAAAAATGGTTATAACTAATAAATTACTTTGGCAAAACAGCAGGATACAAAACTAATGCATAAAAATCTGTTACATTTCAATTTACTAACAATACACAATCTGAAAAAATTAACACAAGCAATTCCATTTACAATATCATCAGTAAAACAAAATACTTAGAAATACTTAGAAACTTAACCAAAGAAGTAAAAGATCTGTACAATAAAAGCTACAAAACTGAAAGAAATAAAAGACATAAATAAATGGAAATATATAGTCATGGATTGGAAGACTTAATATTGTTAGGATATCAATACTACACAACCTATCACAAACCTATGGTGTTTTTTGTAGAAATAAGAAACTCTATCCTAAAATTCATATGTAGTCTCAAAGGAATCTGAGCAGCCAAAACAGTTCTGAAAGGAAGAACAAACCCACAACTCCTGACATCAAAACTTACTAGTAAACTACATTAATCAAAGCAGTGTGGTGATGTATAAAGATAATCATGTAGATCAGTGGAATAAAATAGTCCAGAGATAAGCCTTTGCATAAAAGGTTAAATAAATTTTGGCAAAGTATTTTCAACAAATGGCTCTATGAAACCTAGATATATACATGCAAAATGAACTCTTATCTATACCATATAGATAAAATTAATGTAAAGTAGATTAAAAACAAATTTAAGACCTAAGATCAATAAATTCTTAGAAAAAAAAAGTTAAAAACTTAACAAGAGAAGATTTAATGGTGGCTTCTCAGATATAATGCAAAAGCAGAGGCAGCAAAGAAAAGCAGGCAAAGTGGACTTGATAAAACATTGTAAAATGGGGGCTGGGGATTTAGCTCAGCGGCGTACTGCCTTGGAAGCAGGCAGTTGTGAGTTCGATCCCCGGTACCGATAAAAAGACAAAAAAAAAAAACATTGTAAAATGTGTACATCAAAAAAAAACAGTATCGGGCCGGGGGTTTAGCTCAGCAGCTTAAGTGCCTGCGTGGCAAATGCGAGGTCGTGAGTTCGATCTCCAGCACAAAAAAAACAAAGAACAGCATCACTGCATAATTGTTGACAATAGCTAACCTGCAAAAGATACCAAACCCAAGTGTCCATCAACAGATGAATAAACAATATACGTGCCTAGAACTTCTGAACAGTTCATGAGAATCGACTATTATATGCAATGAAATGAACAGCTACTTTGAAGAAAAACAGACATTATGGTATCCATTGCTGATTCTGTATCATCACGCTGTGAAATCCAGTAATGCTTTTATTTCTTTTTCAGAGTAGTTTTAATCTGTTTTGTCTTATTTAATTTCAACATACATGAAGGTATAGACACCTGTTTTGAAGAGAACAAGAGACATTCTGGCAGCCATTGTTGATTTTCCTGTTGTCTGGTTTTGAAGGCCTATAATGCCTTCATTACTCTGTTTTGATCACTTTTATACTATTTTGTTTTGTATGAATTCATTGTGTGTGAAGATATAGACAACTATTTAGAAGAAAACAAGAGACATTATGGTAACCACTGCTGATCTCCTGTTGTCTTGTTTTGAAATCTGTGTCACTTACGTTATTTTCTTCTGATCCGTTTTGTTATATTTTGTTTTATCCTCTTTAAAATAAAATTTAAAAAAATAGATGGATAAGAAAAATATAGTAGGTACATACAGCTGAATAATGTTTAGATTAAAAGAAAGAAACACTAAAAGAAAGAAAATTCTGACACATGCTAGCTACAATGTAATGAGCCTAAAGAACATTATACTAAGTAAGCCAATCCTAGAAAGACAAACATGATTCCAATTATATGAGATATTAGAGTACTCAAAATTAAGAGATAGAAAGTAGCTGAGGGAGAGGGGAATGGCAAGTTATTGTTGAATGAGCATCCTTGTCCCAACCCCTCTGACTCCTTCCCTCCACTAAGGAATGCCAGACACCAGGGGTGATCAAGAGTCCAGATCCTCTCCTGGGCACTATCCTGAAAAGCTGTCGTCTGCTCCCATCCTGGCTCCCCACTTCTGAGAAGGGACTTGGCTGCTCATGGAACAGCAGGGAAGAAATGGGACATATACAGAGGCCTGCAGCGAGAGGCAGCATTGGCAGGAAGCACACTTGTCCACCACAGTGTCTCTCTCCACACGTACATACACATGTGTCTCACTAGTAGACATTCAGTCCCTTGTATATGAATACCTAATTGAAAAGCTAGTCAAGACTCATGATGCAAGAACAGGTTAAAAACTGGGCATGATGGTGCATGCCTGTAATCCCAGCATTCAGTAGCTGAGGCAAGAGGATTGCTGTGAGCTCCAGGCTGTCCTGGGCTACATAGTGAGTTTGAGACCAGCCTGAACTGCATAATGAAACCTTTTTGTCTTTCAAAAAGACAAAAGACAAAAAGTTTACAAAATACAAAAAAGGCAGGGGATATAGTTCAGCGACACAGGGCCTGCCCGGCAAGTTGCAAGGCCCTAAGTTTGGTGCCTGGTATCCCCAAACAATAAAAAAATTTTTAAAAATACAAGGATTTCCCAAGAGTAACTTACAGAGAATTAAACTATACAAAGAAGAGGAAATCAGACCCTGAAAACAGGCAAACTTGGAATCAGGACCTAACTGTGCCATTTTCTGACAGTGGGTTTCACAGGCCACGTCCCTTATCTCACTGATCTTATTTTTGTCTATAAAATGAAACGAATAGTGCATATCACCTGGAGTTATTTACAAAATAAAAATAATTTCTATACACCACAGAGTTCACTGCCTAGCAGATAGTAAGAGCTCAATAAACGTTAACTGCTACTTATATTACCACTAGGCTGAAAAGTAACACAACTTAGCAAAAGCTTTCCAGGAATGTGTTTTAAGCTTGAAGTTGTACTCCTGGGAAATAGAAAAAAAATCTGAAATATATGTACAAAGATGTTCACTGTAGTGATTTCTACAAAGGCAAAACCTAGAAACTTAACCATTTGGCAGCAATAGCAGACACTGGATAAACTCCCTGTGGATACCAGAACACCCCATGGCTAGAAGTAGGCAGGCAGGCTGTGGCTCCAAACGTTAGAGCCCAGCAGGCACCAGGAGCAGGTCACAGAACATGCATGAGAGGTCCCTAGATTCACATATATAGTCATATTATAGGCTTGTGTATGCACAGAAAAAAAGCCTGGAAGGCTAGCAATATAGTTCCCTCTAGAGACTGAGGAAGTGACAGCTAGCCTTTCTTTAATTTTATTCACTTCTACAGAGCTTGAATTTTATAGTTTTAATGAAGGACATGTATCACTTTCTAATTACAAAGCAAGACAGAAGAATGTGGAATGGGAGAAAAGAACAGCAAGAGAGAGACAGGTTCTTTCTTGCACTTTCCAAATCAGCTTTCCTGAGAGGGCCTTTGCACTCACTGCCCCTCCTGCCAGGGTCACCTGCCTCCCAGATAACAGGGAGCCATGGCCCTCACTGCTTCAGAGTGCTACCGCACCAGCGCCGGCCCCACTGCCCACACCCAGCTCCCTCCTTCCCAGCTTCCTTGTCCTCCCCTGCACTTGCTCCCTCCATGCCATGCCTTGACCTGGCCTGCCAGTTAGCTGTCTGCCTCACTTCAACCACGGTGTCCTCTCTACAGGGACAGATTGTCTTTGTCCACCGCTACCTCCCTAAAGCCTAAAAGTCAATAAATCCTCAATCAATAACCACCCATGCCTTCATAGTACCAGTCATCGCCAGCCTGAAAGGAGTCACAGATGTAAAGGGCTGAGTTTACTCCTGCCTGCCACTCCTGCCCTGACAACGGTCCCTGCAGTGTATGCACACCACCGCCCAACAAGGGTAGGGAGGACATTTGGTGCGATGAAAAACTGGCACTACCTATATGTCTGTCAATAGAAGACTAGCTTAAAGCTCATGCAATAGCCAAATGATAGGGTACCACGCAATCAAAAGAATAAAATGACAAAATAAGATGCAATGAAACATGAAAATATATCCATGAAATATACATGATTTTAAAATGGCTTGGGTATAGCTCAGGGACAGAGTGCTTACCTACCTAGTTTATGTGAGACCCTAGGCACAACTCCCGTCACTGAAGAAAAAAGGTAAGACACAGCTAAAATTTATAATTTTACAACACTTGGCTTTTAAAAAAAGTGCAAGCTTATCTGTCAGTGACTGCTGCTGCTGCTGCTGCTGGGAGTGAAGAGGGGAGGATGGAGTCAAGCAGGCAATCTTTCTTTATTTAAAGATATTTTTAAGAGAAAAGAAAAAACATTTAGAACCTGGAGGCAGCAACAAGAGCCAGCCCCAGCCATCCACCCACACTGCAGGACCAGCTCCAAGGAGCCCTTGTTCTTAATCTCCAGTCCATGGAGCTCAAAGACAGGAAAGGCCTTCTACACCCTAACACAGTTATGATGCTTCTTTCAGGAACCAAAGAAGTATCACACAGTAAAAGAGTGTCCAAGGGCAGAAAGGGGAAGATACAGAAGAGACGAGGATAGAGATGAACCAGCCCTATTCTCTCTCTCTCTCTCTCTCTCTCTCTCTCTCTCTCTCTCTCTCTCTCTCTCTCTCTTCTCTCTGTCTGTCTCTCTCTCCCTCTGTCACACACACACACACACACACACACACACACACACACACACACACAAAGCACCCTTGCAGGCAGGGGAAAGGCATTCCAACAACAGGCTCTGGAAATGCCATTTCTACCATCAGCCAAACCCCAGGCAGAAGGGATATTGCTCCCCTCTATATGTACCCATGCCTGGAGAGCACTCCCCAAACACAGCAGTCCTGACCCCAGAACTCTGCACAGCACCATCCTCCACGACCCCTCCCCAGCACTAGGGTGAGTCCAGCTGACCCCCTAGTCCAGGGACCCCAGCCCAACCCTGAGTGTGCACCCTGTGGCTGAGCATGGCCGACCTTTTCCACTGATTTCTTAGACTGCAGCAACATTTTCTTCTGGGATTCTTCTTTTCCCATTTCAGCCTCTCTGTAAGATGATTGTTTGTAAAGGGACTTCCTTGATGAATTGGATCTTCCAGTGCCGAAAGATACCTGGAAAAAAAAAACCAGGCCTCCCAGATCACATAAGGGTGCCTTCCTTCCCTATAAGGGACAGAGATCAGAGACAGATTATGAAAAGCAGCCACCCTGTGATGTCCGGATAATGCTTTACTGCATCTTGGCTATCTGGTGTGTGCTGGGCTTCAGACACTCTGAGGCTAGGGAATGCCCATTTTTCAGTGATACACTATTTTGCTCCCTAGAGAAAACACCTGAGTCTGCCTTTGCAGAAGATCCTTTCTTTGTCACAGAAGTGGTCACCTGGCAAAAAATGAGGCCAGAGAGTCTTCACTGCTCTAGAAGCTCTGAAGCCAGTGGTATAATCCTGATCCTCCAACACTGGCATGAGCATCTAACTGTATCGTAAAGCATATGTGCCTTAGGGAAGAATTACTCCCAGCACATCATTCTGGAGCTGGGTCTACACTGCCCTGTGCTTGCATGTGTTTGGAAAAGGTGTCTAGAGCAGGAATCAGCACTCAGTTGCAGAAACAACTGGACTAGTCCCTCCAGCACCACACAAAAGACCCTGCTGTAGTCACACAGTATTGGGATGCTGTAGTCACACAGTATTGGGGGGGGGGGGGCTCCAAATCAAGTTTAAGAAATAAAACAGCAAAGGGGTGAAGGCAGTTTCACTTCAGTGAGTTCCTTGGGGCGAGGGACAGTCATGTCTGGTACAGATGGCTCCAGCCAGCACTGGGCTGCCTGCTGGAACTCCACTCCACTTGTAAATAACCCCTGCAGTTGTGAGGCAATAGGTCTTCCTGCTCCTTCTCCCTATCCACAAAAGAGAACTGTCAGTTATTCTAGGTCATTCTCAGAAGAACCAGTCCTGGAACATCCTCAATAAGGCTCAGGGGAAGAGGATAATGCTTTGCTGCATCTTGGCTCATGCCCTTGTGGCCTGGGCTCCAAGGAGACTAAGTGTGCTTGGGGCCTCTGTGGGACACTCCTGGGCCAGCACCTGGCAATCAATCTTGAATACTAAAAGATCAGCACAGGCTCTAGCATCTGCTTGTAGATTTTCAGGGCTGTGCCTCCTCCGGGTCTGCCAATAACTTTTGAGGTTTTGGAGCCTGGTATGGCAGTGCTTGGGGAAGTAACCATGCCCAGGCTTGAGGCAACACAGTAGGTTAGCTATAGTGGGACTACAGCAGCGAGGCACTCTGCCTGCCCATCTTGCTCAAAATGAATGAGTGGATGGGAAAGTGCCTTCCAGATATCCTGGGAAAAGCCCACCAAATCACAAAACAAGCACTAACAAACAAACACCAGCAGGAAGGGCTCTCTTTCACCTGATAGGACTGAGGCCTTTCTTGCTCCTTGGTGCCTGGGTGTCTCGACACAACAGGAGCCGACATCAGGGTCCGCCTCGGGTTGGCCTTGCCCATGGTCCTCCAGCCACAGCCAGGGAGCTTCTTGGAGGTCTTATGTGCCCATTTCTTTTCCATGCAGGTTTTGGTGGGTCCATGGCTACAGACCACGCATCTCTCCCCTTCTTGCACCTGTGCTGGGAAGATAGCATCCCTGAAGGCATTGCAACCTCCTACAAGGAAACTTGGGGCCTCCCTAGTCCAATGCTGAAACCTCTGGTCCTCTAGTTGCCTGAGGACTTGCTTTCCAGAACCCTCACATCCGAAAACCTTCAGAGGAAGGCTTATAACCCCAACCCTGTGCCAACCTTCACAGGAAAGCTTATAACCCCATCCCTGTGCCCCAAGTCCCCAAAGGAACACAGCTTCTGTGAGGAAGCCAGTCTCCCCACCTGTAAAATAGACAGTGGTTTCCAAAGCTTTTTCATTGTTTCTAATCTAAGGAAAGTCACAAGTGTAAGAGCAATAAAATGCTGAGCTATTCTTGGGGAGGCTCCATCCACCCAAGCCCCTTGACCCTGCAGTAGCTTCCAAACATCTCTACCTAGCACAGCTGGAAAACCACTGCACAAGTTAAGCCCTCAGGACCCTGTCAGCTTTAATCTTGTGTGATATAGTAATTCCAAGCCTGTACAGGTTTTCTAGGTCCCCATCATAAGCCTGGTGACTTTACAGCAATAAAATGTAACTGTGATGATAGATACTTCCTCTAAGGAGTAAGTAATCTATCAGAAATGACAGGGCTAGAGCCATGAGGCTTGGCTGTGTGGCCTCAGACGAGGTGTTTAACCTCTTTGTGCCTCAGCTTTCTCATCAGTCAAATGGATATAATGGTAGAAACTAGCATTTGTTCTTGTAGCTCAGAGCCCCTCCAGAACACATCATTTGCCCTCTGCTTCCCAGGCTGTGTCCCGCCCTCCCATCTCTCCCCAGTCCTGGCCTCCAGCTAAGACAAAAGTCAGAGGGAGTGTGACCATACCTTCACGGGCTGTAAGGGCAGGGGGCTCACAGAGGCATTGAAATTCAAGATGGGCTTCAACATGTTGACGTTCCAGAAGAGGATGTCCCCATTGTAGGAGGAGGTCGCAAGGAACTGGTTCTGGTACTTGGCCATGCAGAGCACATCCTCTGTGTGGAAGGTCTGCCAGTGGTGGCATAAGAGCACTGGCTTGGTCTTGTGGAACCTGTGCGTATGCCCAGGGACAAGAGGGCAAAGAGCATAGCCTTTAATGCTCTTTCGGGAGAACCATGGCCCATCAGATGCTGCAAGCCAGCTCAGAAGGAAAAGCTCTCGGTCATCAGAGCTAGTTTGAAGCCCTGCCCCACTTGGCCTCACTTCCTAAACTCTTCTAAGTGCCTGCTATAAGGGTTCTATCCACAGGCTTCCAGAGTATTAATCCTAATCCACTCCCATTCAGACACCAGGCAAGGATTAGGGGAAAGCAGGCGAAATCACAGCCCCATAAAGGCCCTGTAAAGGAAGGGCCCTGCGTGTGGTGTTTCACCCTGTGATATGGTCCTATCCCAAGTGCTTCCCCAACCCTCCCCTTCTCACACTTCAGGTCCACCCACCCATGACATCTCTGCTAATCCGCTCTGACGGTTCCCCAGGACTGTATCAGGTTTCCGTTCTTACCTCCCTACAGAAATTTCTATTTTTTTGTTCACAGCACTTCATGTACTTTATAAGAGAAATTGTTTGATTATTTGACAGACTGTGTTCTCTCCAAATTCCCCCAAACCTAATCCCCAATGTTAAGGAATGTGGAGGTTGTTATAGTTAATGCATTGTGTCAACCTGAGTAGTTTAAAGTTTTACTGAGAGACTCAGCAGGGAGCCAGAATCTTACTTTGCAAATATCCTCATCCTGTGCATGAAGAAGGCACAGAGATTTTGTGAGTGCTATATTCGCCTGGGTGGGGGTGGGGGGCTCTGGACAGTATAAGGGGGGAAAAGAAACTTGCTCTTCCTCCCTTTTTCTCTGGCTGCTTTAGCTGGTTTATTGCCTTAAAGTCTGCCCCAATGCCATGCCACCCTGCCTTGCAGTCGGCTGATTATGGCCTGAAACCTCCACAAGCTGTAAGCTAAATAAACCCTTCCTTCCTTCATTTTAGGTGTTGGGTATTTTGTCCCAGCAATGAGAGAAAAGTAACCAAGATAGAGGTGACTGAGTCACAAGCACAGAGTCCTCATAAATGAGACTAGTGCCCTTAGAAAAGAGGTTTGGTGGCTCACACCTGTAATCCCAGCTTCTCAAGAGGATGAGGTACACATTGGTTCTGTTCCTTGAGAAAGACATCAATCCCGGAGGTGATAATCTAGTTTAGCCAAGCCAGGTACTGATGCTGGCACAGCCTGAGGCCTAGAAGAATGTACTTTGCATGTGAGAAGGATATAAATGTTCAGAAATTAGAACAGGAATGCATGGGAGGATTTCATATTCTCCCAAAACCCATGTAATAAAATTTATTTCCACAGCCATATGTGGTGGCACACATCTGAAACTCCAGCACTCAGGAGGCAGGCAGGAGGATTGCCTTGAGTGTGAGGCCAGCCTAAGATACACATTGAGTTCAGGGTTCAAGGGCAGCCTGAACTACATAGCAAGATCCTGTCTCAAAAAACAAACAAACAAATGAAAAAACAGTTTCCCAATGTGAGGGGACTGGTTGTAGAGCCTTTGGGAAATGATAAGGTATAAGGGTGGAAACACATGAATGGGATTAGTGCCCTTTTAAAAGAGGCCCCAGAGAGATTCTTTGGCCCTTCCATCAGGTAATGTTATAGCAAAAAGACAGCTTTCAGACTGGAAGTGTGGCTTGGTGGTAGTGTTGTCCAGTACACGAGAAACATACATTCCATTATCAGCACCACAAAAGCAGGAGAGGAAGACAAATTTCTATGAACCAGACAGTAGGTCCTCACCAGACACCAAACCTGCTGGTACCTTTATCTTTTTTCTTTCTTTTTTTTTTTTTTTTTTTTTTTTTTTTTTGGTCTTTTTCGTTTTTATCGGTACCGGGGATCGAACTCATGACTGCCTGCTTGCAAGGCGGGTGCTTATGCTGCTGAGCTAAATCCCCAGCCCCTGGTACCTTTATCTTGCCTCAGGAACTGTGTAAAACAAATTTCTGATGTTTATAAGCCGCCTGGTCTACGGTATTCTGTAGTAGTAGTCCAAACTAAGACATTCCCCCACAGAGATGCTCCAGAGGATGGACGCTGCATCACTCTTGTTTACATCCAGCCCCAGCGTGTGGCAGAAAACTTAGACTGTATCACGCTTAATGAATGATGAGTGAATGGTTAGATGAGTAGAGGAAGCAATGGCCTACCACTAATTTCCTGTTTGGTATCTCAGGCAACAGGAAAGCTAAGAGCAGAGGAACCCACAGAGTGAGGAAAAAGCCCTTGCCTTATCTACTCACCACCCATGCTCGCTACTCACATGAAACTAGTGATTCTCTTACTCCATCCGGTCACGTAGTACACTTTGTTCATATGGACGAGGCCACTAATCTGTTGAAGACGGAAGAAAAGGAAACTCTAAACACCTCAAGAGCTTGGCTCTAGGGTTCAAGTGTCTTCCTTTTATTTTTTTAAAGTGTCTTTTTCAGTGTACTAAGCAAAAAGCCAAACTCAATTCCCTCACATTAAAACAAGCATGAATTTTTCAGCATGCTTTCACACTTGATTATTTAATTTAATGGGTCTCGACCATTGAACTTGATGACACTGTTGCCTGCCTTCATTTTTTGGCTTAAGGACACCAAGTCTTTGGCAGGTTTGAAACCAAGCACTCCTGCCCATGTCATGCAGCCTTTCAGAAACACCCAACAATAGCATGTCTTAGGGTCCCAGGAGCCATGGTTTGCTTCTGGATCCAGCTGGCAGAGCAGACTGACCTCCACTTGGTCAGGGTTGGGAAAAGTCAGCAGACATTCTCCAGTGTTGTGGTTCCACATCTTCATCGTCCCATCCAGCAAGCCTGTGAGCAGACACCGCTCGTATGCGTCCAGGGCCATGGCAGTGAGCTCCACGAGCAGAGCATCGGACACAGAGAACTCCATTATCTTCCTCCCGGTCGTAATCTCCCATACGCTCACTGTGCCCTTCTGGCAGCCACTCACCACCTGTTGGGGAGGGAGCACACTGCTGGGGCTGCTGGAGGCAAACACCTCCACTGTCCACAATGATCTCTAGCCTGTCAGGGCCAGAGCTAGCCCCTCCCTGTGCATCACACACCAAGAAAGCATTTCCAGGGCTTCCCTACAGCAGCACAAGCCATGGCATACAACGGGCCTTCCCTAGCTCTGTGTCACGAAGCTGGCACTGCTCTTTTAGAAGGAATCAGTTTGCTAAAGTCCCTGTGAACTCAATCAGAATCTACCCAGAGAAAATAACCCCTACTTTAGAAAAGATGCTTGCTGAAACATCATTAATCATGACAAGGGGGAAGGGAGGAAAACTAACTGACCACTCAGCGGGGAAATGCTGACAGTAAAGGACAATCGTATCCCTCAGTGAAACATTTTGCTGCCACCACAACATTTACAATGCAAGAGTAGCCTGGGAAGCTATTTCAGCTCAATCCATCTATTGAGAACATCCAGAAAAGCTGGGACAGTTTTAAAAACAAAAGCTGTCTGACAGAATTGAGGAGCCCTAAAGCGTGAGAGGTCCTGGGCCAGGAGCCAGAATGAGACAGAGAAGGAGAGATGAGCTACGGGTTTGTGCAGCCAACATTTATTTGCCTTTCCAGCTGATGCAGCCTGCCCCATGCAGACCCCAGGCCAGGAAGGAGATCCCACTAGAGTGGACAGAGGACTTGGTAGCCCTGCTTTTGCTACTCAGAAATGATTCCACACCCCCACCTGCTCTGCCCACCCACAGACCTCTACCCAGAACTCTGACCAGGCCTCTCTCCCTTCCCACACTGAACAGAACCCAGCTGTGAATTCCCTGAAAGGTGAATTCCCTGAAAGCTCTTAGATAGCACCCATGCTGGGAGCTGCAGGGAGCATCCATGACTGGTACTCCATCTCACTTTAAGCAAGGGAGTTGCCCATGCAGAAATAATCTAAGGCATCAGCTCTGGGCATGGTGACTAGAAGTCAGAGGATTCAACAGTCAGCACAGGGAGCTGAGAGCTTCAGCCTGCAGAACTTCCTCCTGCCCCGGCATCACCACCACGTTGTAGCAACTCTCAAACCCCACTTGCAAACACAGGCACACAGGAGCTCAAGGTCCTGCCCTGTTCACCTGGCACACCTGCCAGACTCATAGGACAACCCTGCCCACTCACCTGCTTGAAGATCTTGCTGTAGAGGACAGCACACAGGACTGAATTGTGAGTTGTGATCTTCCCTGATTTCGTAGGCCCGTGGGCCTCCAAGTACCCTTTTATGATGCCAATCTGCAGTGAGGAGAGGGACAGACATTTGAGCAGTGCTCAGACCCCTCTGTGACCAGCCATTGAGAGAAATTTTCAGAAACGTAAGACATCCTGATTGCACCCAGCCAGGCTGCCTACTCCTCAGGGCACTGCAGCGCCCACTCATGGGATCAGACCTCCGGGTCCATCTTGCCTTATGACTTCTCAGTAGCTGTATCCTCACTAGGTGTTCCCTCCAGGGAGCCTCTCCTGACCAGCCTGGTCTCAGACTAGGCAAGGATCTTTCTCCATGCTCCTGTGGTACCTAGCATCCATCACTTTTATGACACAGCACTTTCTACTAAACTAACTGGTTTTCTTCTAGGATACTGTCCCACTAATATGTTCTCAGCTCCCCACAAAAAGAAAGAGGTGATAATGTTTCACGACCTGAAATGAACTTCAAAATTCTGTTCGACAAGTGCCAACAGCCAAGATCTGACACTCAGAAAAGAAGTGGAGAAACCTACAACCCTCCTTCTAAATAAACTGCCATCTGGGAGAGAGCCAGCCACGTACCCAGGAGGGCGTGTGGGTCCCCTACAGAGGAACATGGCCAATAGAGGGTACAAGGCTTTGGTGGAGCTCAGTCACAGAAAATACCCTCTTCTTTTTCAGTGGAAACTCCACCTCCTGGACACAGTTCTCACCACCATTCTGGCCAGTCTTCCCTTTGTGTTTGCCCCAGTCTCTCCTGTCCTCCAGGTAGGACTGACCTCACATGGGCACCAGCAATGTCTTCCTGACAGCTTTCTGGGGGCCCCTCTTTCAGGAGCTGCTCAGGCATGGGCCCCACCTTTGTGGAGCTGACTTAGCAGGAAAGACATTCCTTTATTGTTACAAAGCCAAAGAGGCAAGGAGGAAGGTAAGTTTCTAGATAAAAAGCCCCTAGGGCAAGGAATATAACTCAAGGGTACAGTGTCTTCCTGGCAAGCATGAAGTCTGGAGTTCAATTCCTGATACAAAAAAAAAAAAAAAAAAAAAATAGCCCCACTGAGGGATGCACAGGTAGATGCAGCAGTGACAGATGATGGGCCAACCGAGAACACGCCTCCAGGAGGTTGGTAGGCCATGTCAGCAACTTTGGAAACCTCAGGAGGACAGGCCATAACATGCTCTTGGCTGTCCCGTGGGACATCAGAGCCCGGACGTAATAACCCCTTATTCAGGATAGTACTTACAGAGAAGGTACTACAGACGAGGGTACTGCTATTGGTGTGGAAATAGATACTGGTGATGGGGTAGTTTCCCAGGGCAAACTGCTTCGCAGACAAGGTCTGGAGACACACGTGGTCCTGCAGGTCCCACACGCGGATGTTCTGGGAGTGGAAAACAGGTGAGAGGCCCCTAAGGCCCTGTGGATATCCCTGTGAGCAAACACTTCTAATACACAGCCACTGTATCAGGTCTGATGGGATCACAACTGTGATCCCACACCCCAAGCACTTGGTGAACAAGGGCACAGGCAAGTGTCTTCAGGCTTCTATTTGAGCTATGAAGGCCACAGGCTGAGGATGAGAAGAGCAGGCAGCCTACACCCCTTCCCAGACCTTCACTTGTTCCCCCTCTGCCTCATACTAGAAAAGTCCACCTAGGTTAGAGAGCGGTACCAATAGAGGTGCCCAAATGGCCTGCCTTTTCCCAGCATAGCATATTCTGTACTCATCTTTGGCTAAAGAATGTTCACCAGGAAAGCCCTATAGAAGGCCCTCCAGGATCTAGATGGGAATGGACTTGGAGTGTGCCGGACCCAGTCCATACTTTGCCTCTGCCCATCACTAACAGCACAACCTTGAGGACCTCAGCAAGCCCAGCCCTGTCCTTTCACCCCTCCTGCCTAGATCCTTCTTCAGCTCGTAGGCTGTTAGGAGAAGTCCAGACAGCAGCATATGTGAGCAGGAGCAGCATACACACTGGAAGGGTAGCCCAGTGACCCCAAGACCCCTGACAATTCTCTATCTACTAGCATTGGTCCCACAAAAACAAATCTGTCCACTGTAAGAGAATACCCAGAGCTTTCAGCCACATTCCTAACTCTAGCAGGGATGACCTGAGCAGCCAACAGATGGCACAGTGTCCTGAACTAACAGTTTCTCAGAAGCAAAGTGCTGTGCCCAACTAGAGGAGCCTGGGCACCCAAGTAACTGAAGTGGGGTCACTAGTAGAACTAAGAGGTACAAATCTAGGAGTTAGGGGAGACAGGGGAAAGGGTCACAGACATCACACATCTACTATGTGGAGATAATGCTTTCACTACCTGTTTGTTCTGTAAACCATTCAGCAACCCAATCTATGGAAAAAGAAACTGAGGCTCAGAAAAAGAAGGGACTTGGCCAGGGTCACAAAATAACAAGTTGGGTTGGGCTATGTAGACCCCAGCTCAGTCAGACTGATCAGAGACGGACTCAGCTTCTCTGGGGGTTGTCAAAGACCCATGCCCACTTGCATGATGATCCTCCCTTGGGTGCCTTCCTCTAAGCCTTTGGCCCCATGTGAGATAATGGGTAGAGAGCCTCAGATTCCTCCCAAAATTGGTCTCCCATCAGTGTCATTCTCCAAGGAACAGAACTGGCATGGAGGCACAGAGTATGATGGGACTTGCTCCATGAGAGCGGTACCTTGTCCCTGGAGATACTGATGAGGATGCTGTTGTTCTTGCTGTCCACAACGATGTGTGTCACTGAGGTCTGATGTCCCTTCATCAACCACACAGGCCTTTTTGAGATGAAGGGGTTCCACAAGCGGATGTGGGAGTCATATCCACCAGTTGCTAGGGTCAACAAATGGTAGTTAGCCACCACAGGCCACAATGGGGACCTTCTTCAGAGCCAAACCTTGGACCCAGCCAGGTGGAAAGAGGCTCACCATGATCTATCACTGCTCCTCTTCCCCCATTCTCTCCACCACTGTCCCATGCACAGCCTATCTCAGTGGAAATAACCCTATGGCATACCTGCCACAGAGGGCAGCATCACTGAAGCCCAGAAACGTTCACCATCAGTGGCCGACAAGATCACACCACCCCTGGTGCCCATGAGTGGGAATACGGGTGGTAAGAAAGGAGGCCAGACAGATGCTTCTCCTTGGCTCCAACAGTCCCAAAGCCCTGACCACCCCTCATACCAGCTCTACTAGGCAAACAGAATTTGGAGGCCATAAAGATAACTTACCCAGGAAGTTCTTCTCTGGGCAGTAATCAAAGCAAAGAATGCCTTTTCTTAAATTCATCACTGAAAACCTACAACAGCAAAGGGGTAAGGGCTACTGGCAGGAACAGGTTAGGCTCTGAGGCCAGCCTGGGTCATGTAGAAGCTGGAGGCAAGGATGCCCAGGAGGCCTGGGCAAAGTCTCTACCTCTCCATCCAGAAGCAAAAACAGCTTCACAAGTTTCCCAGGGCTTATTCTGCAGCCAAGGCAGGGCTGAGCTCTGTAGACCAAGTAGCAGCTGCCAAAACCAGCAGCCTGGGGCAGAGACACATGCTTCCAGTTGGGCACAGAGCCAGAGAAGGAGCCGCTTCTAACTTGTAAAGATTTCTGCTTCATCCAAGGGCAAACACACTATTTTTACATCCTATCCTAGGACAGATATCCTCTCAACCCATCACAAATCAAGAAAAGGGGGGATTGCCCAGAGCAGTGCTATGCCCTCACTGTACACTGCTCCCTGTGCTGAGCGCTATCTCACAGCTCACCTGGATGCCCCCTGACATTGTGAGGAGTACCATCAGTCCCAGGCTAGGAATGAGAACACTAAAAGAAGCTAAGGAAATTGCCCAAGGTCACACAAGTAACCAACAGTGTGGTCAGCATTTGGCCCCAGGGTGGGAATGGCAAGAAGTGACCATGGCTTATTAATAAGCCACCCGGGAAAGGTGGCATGGCAGGGCTCGGTAAGGCTCAGAGGGTCACAATGATCTAGGCCGGAGTTTTAGGGCCATTGGGGCCCTCGCAAGTGCCCTTGCTGTTGCTTCTCTCCCATGGCTTAATGTGATGTAAAGGGCCTGCCACAAGGCACTCCTGCCTTCTAATGCAGCTCACCCTCCACTGAACCGGCCCCCAAGGCATCATCCTGGGTGACCCGGTAATCTGCCTCAGCCACCTCCTCCCCCACTTCCCCTCATGCCATGGCCTCTGCTTAGCTCAGGTCTCCTTCACTTCTAATCAGCCTCCCGGCTGACTTTATAACCTCCAGTCTTGTTTCTCCTCCAGTCTCCTCTGGACTCTACAGCTTTAAGGATTCTCTAAAAAACAAAGCTTCAAGAAGAACCTACTTGTTTCTTTTATGTTCAAACCAAATATACCTCCCTCCATGCTTTTATATGCAAATATTCTGGAAGAATAGGCATCAAAAGGTTAGCAGGAATAATTCCAGGCTGACTGACTTGTTCATTCAACAAAGACTTGTTGGCGTCTACTCCCTGCCAGAATTCCAGTGGCATCATGATGATGCTCCTGTCGTACAGAATTTTCCTTTTGGAGGGAAATGCAGGAGCAAGAATGGATTGAGAGACAGGAAAGGCACAGTGACAAACCATGGCAAGTTCTGCACAGAAAACAAGTGGTTTTGATGAAGGAAGCCGAAGGAGACTCACTCTTCATGCCTCTGGAGAAGGTGTAAAGGATGAGAAGGGACACCAAGGGCTGCCGGGGGAAGGAGGAGGCTCAGCCTGAGGGAGAAGTGTGTGCAAGGTCATGGGCTCTGCACTCTGGACAGGTCTGCAGAGGGCGGTGTGCATGGACAATAGCCAGAGGGGATCCAGGAAGCCCCAGCAAGTTCAGTGGGGTAACGACAGTGCTTCAAGTAATTAGGTGACAGAAGTAAAAGTGAGGGAAGAGGAGCAAAAAGGGGGAGGCACTCTGGCGGTCAGTCCACACAGTACTGTCTCTGCTGCCCCACCCCCACTCTCCCACAAGCTTCAGTCCTGGCTCCAATCGCCCACAGAACTCATGTAAGACCAGCTACAGGGAAGCCCACACTGCCTCAGAGGCCGAGGCTTACTCCAGGTGAAGAATCTGGGTTGGTAATGCCAGACTCCACCTCAAGAGGTCATCTCCAAGAATAGGAGACCAATAAGCAGCTAATGATGCCATCTGCTGGCCAGGTTGGTGTATTGCACCCAGACGAGCAGGAAAGAAGGGTGCTTATGTGTGTACTGGGCAGAGGAATATGCATTCTCCAACTATCTCCAAACTGTGGTTCCTTAATTCCTTGTCTCCACCTGCTGGCCAACTCCAGGCCACTGTCAAATGCTGAATTACTGCAGTGAGGTCCTCACTGCTGTTGCAACCACTACTCCTCATGCACTTGCAAATCCTCAATCAGACCACATCATTCCTCTGCTTGAAACCATCCAGTATGTAATCTATATCTGCTTCCAAATAGTGGTAAGAAGACACTCTGAGATAATGTTAATTTGAACGAGGCACTAAATGATTATAAAACAATGACACTATTCTCTTTTTCTATTTTGGGTATTTGAAATTTTTCATAATAAAAATAATACTAAAGAAAATAAGAGGACCTCTAGGAAGATGGTGGAATGGTAAGCAGCAGAGAAAGAGCCTCTCTGAGATTTGGTGTCCAAGCACTGGATATAGCAAAGTCAGGAAGTGAAAGAGAGAAGCCAGAAAGATCTCTGCTGAGAATTGAAGCCCACAGAGAGAGCCAAGAGAAACTTCAACAAAGAAGGAGGAGGAAGCAAGTGGTGCTTTCTCTCTGAGTCCAGACTCACTGTGTTGGAGGGGGCTTGAAACTGCAAGCACATGGTGACTGCTAGGAATCCCGGAGACTCAATGGGCAGAGTGGTAGACACAGCAGAATGAACTAGCTGGTAAAATGTCCCAATTAGACATCCCGCAAGAGAGAGAGATTGGTAAGGAGCCATTTTCGAGAGAGGCCAACTGAGCTCAGGACCCCAAGTGGCTGCTGGATCCACCTAGAGTCTCCCAGCCAAGTTCAAACCCACAAGGGGAGAGTGAACTACAACAGGCTGGGTGGATCTGGTTCCAGCCTCACAGCTGGAGGCCAGCCTGAACTTCAGTGGAAATATGAGAGCAGGCTCACTGGATTACCTTTTGCCCACTGTAGAGGTGCTGCTGGCTGGCCGGGTTTTATGGATGCAGATCTGAACTCAGTCTGTACAGGTTGTCTATCAGTTGCAGCAGAGACATATCTTAAAATGGACATCTTGTTCTTATTTTCTTTCTCTCTTATTTTTGTTTGTCTGGGGTCTTTTCACTGTTCTGTTCTTCTTTGTTGTTGTTGTTGTTTTGCTTTATTTTTTGGTTTGCCTGGTTTTTTGGTACCAGGGATTAAACTCATGATGTTGCACTTGCCAGGCAGGCACTTGTGCCACTAACCTAAATCCCCAGCCCTCTGTTCTTGTTTTTATATGACTGTGGACATGGTTTCTAGTTTCTTTTGTTGTTGCTGTTCTGTTGTTATTTTTTCCTTCTCTCTTTCCCTCCTGTCTTTTGCACCAGTTTCCCAAAGTTAGTGTAACCCTCCTTTGTCCTCCAGCCTTGCTTCTAATCTCTTCCCTTCCTTTATTTTGCAATTTTTTCACTAAACCCTTTTAAATTTTCTCCCGGGAGGTTAAAATTGCCATACTGAGGGCCTATTTACTGCACACAATTTTCTGGTTTTAGATTTTGTTATATAGCCACAAATCTAGTTCATATGATTAAAGGTGGAAAATTATACCTCAGTTTGTCATTTTCTAGGCTGCGTTGGATGCTATTGCTATTGCTGATTGTACCACTTTAACCAAAGTGACATAATTGTTTTAACCAGTTGTTCTTGCTGGTATACCAAGACTGAGAATGCCTAAGGGTCATAAAAAGTACTGTATAGGCCAGTGCCAAAAAAGCAGGGGCTAGGCTAAGTGGACAGCAACTTCTCATCCCAGTAAACAGAAGAGATAGGATCCTGCAACAGACTCAAAAACCAAAAGCCAGCTACACATGGAAGATACCTTGAGAAGTCATCATTCCCTAAAGGTTTGAAATACTAGCAATAAACCTATTCACCATAGGCAACTTACAAAGCATCAATCCAGTAATTAAACTAAAAAGAAAAAATAAGAAGACACTTAAACAAGATACAGGCCAGGAATATAGCTCAGCAGCACAAGCACCTGCCTGGCAAGTGAAAGGTCTTGAGTTTGATTCAAGGAACAATCCAAAAGCCTACACTCTCTGAAGTGGTAACAACAAAGCAAATGAAAAAGTTCTAGAAAAAAATCAAGTCATAAAACTTTCTCAGATAACTACAGAGATGGTGACCCTAATGAAGGACATGCTTAGTGACTCTAGAGCAGATACAGATAAACAATAGAGGAGCTCAGGAAAATGATGGAAAACATAAATGTCCAACACAGGAAAGAAATGGAATCCATAAAACAAATTCAAACACATATGCAGGAAATTAAAAATTCCCCTGAAATTATACACAACAGAATAAGCCAATGTGAGGACAGAATCTCAGCTATAGAAGACAGCATAGCAATCATGAAAATTAAGATTTCTTAAAATTAGGAAGGGACTATGAGAAATAAATTCAGCAGCTGCTAGATAAGACAGAAGAATAACAATAAGATTGATCATAGTCGATAAAAAAGCAGGAAATAGTGTAAATGACATTTTTAAAGAAAACTTTTAACAGATATCATGGCAGAAAACTTCCCTGGAAGGTAAAGAGAACTTCACACACAAATAAATAAGGCATATAGAACTCCAATTAGCCATGATCAAAAAAAAAATCTAGAGCAAGGGATATAATAGGCCAGGTTCCAGAAATTCAACACAATATCAAAGTTGGCACAGAAAAAAAAAAACAAATAACTTATAAGGGTAAGCCCATCAGAATCACAGCAAACACTCAAGTCAAGGAGAGATTAAAGTATTTCAAGTCTTAAAAGAAAAAAGCCTCCCACCCAGACTGATGTACCTCACAAAACTATTTTTTCAAAATTGATAGAGAAATAAGATATTTCCATGACAAAAAACACATGACGAAAAAAATTTTTTGGTACTAGTAATCGAACTCATCTGAGGAAATTTATGAAAACCAAACTAGCACTCCAAAATGTTGTGCAGGACGTTTTAGAATGAGATAACCAGGATTACAACTCCATGAACCCCAACAGAATGAATCCACTGGGCAAGGCAAACAATTAAAAAAGGAGAAAAAAAGAGAATCAACAATAGGAAAATAACATGACAAAAACAAAGTCAATA